GCCCTCGCCGCGGCCGGACCCACGCCCGGGCGGGGGTCCGCTCCCGCGGCCGCCACGGGGGGCGTAGCCTCCGCGACCCCTCTGGGGCGCTGCGTTGCCGCGGCCGGAGTCGTAGCTGCCGCGGCCGGAGTCGTAGCCGCCGCGGCCGGAGTCGTAGCCGCCGCGGCCGGCGGCGGGGTTGCCGCCGCGGCCGCCGCGCCCGCGCCCGCGCGCAAACGCGTTGGCGTTGTCCCGGACCGAGACGGGCACGGCGATGGTGGTGGGCCCTTGGGTGGGGGCGTTGGAGGCAGGGGCGGCGGGGGTCGGGCGATGGGGGGCGGCGGCGGAGGGAGGGGGCCCTGCAGCATCGGAACCGGCGGACGCGGCCTCCGCCTTCGCACCGGCGGCGGCCGGCGCCTGCTCCCCAGTCGCGGCGACACTCCCCTCCTGGCCCTCACCGACGAGTCCCTCGGCCTGGCGCGAGGCGGGGCGGGAAGACGCCTGCCCGAAAAAGTGGTCGACCAGGTTCTCGCCCGAGGCGGCGGCCGCAGCCGCGGGGGTCAGAGCCTCGCCGCCCTCCGTCGCCGCCGCAGCAGCCGACCCGGCACCGGGGCCGGCCAGGGAGGGGGGGCCGGCCACGGACCCGACCACGGGGCCGACCACGGCGGGGTCGCCCAACTGGCGGCGTGGGCCCGCGCCTGGGCCCTCGTGCTCGTGGCCTGGGCGGGGCGCCGGGCCCGCGTCCCCAGCCACGCCCTGCAGGTTGGGCACCAGCGCCACGTAGTCCAGGGCCTGGATGCTCTTCACCACCTCGGCCAGGTCGGCGCCCGTCGTGGCGTCGCCCAGCAGCGGCTCGTTGGGGTGGAGCAGAGCCTTGAGGGCCAGGTCCTTGCTCAGGCCCAGGGCCTCCTGTGGGTCGTGGGGAAGGGGAGGGGGGTAGCGGGTCGGGTGACCGACGCGAGATGATGCGAGGGTTTTTGGGTGTGTGCGCAGAATCACGTCTCCTCCTCCACATCATGGGCACCCGCAGGAGCCAGGAAGATGCAAACAACTGTCCAGTGAACGTCACACTTGAATGGTTATCACGAGAAGTAGACTGCCTCAGATCCTAGGCAACCCTTGGGCCCCACATTCACACAAACCTGCACACCACGCCCGTCATCCCACCCCACATCCACTCACGGCATGGCTGAGCTGGGTGTTGAACACGCGACTGGAGACCATGCGCGCAAACACGGCCACGTTGGTGATGTCGGCGGGGGTCAGGGGAATGCCCGCCTGCTGGGCGTACATGAGGCAAACGTGGCGCTCGTAGTGCGAGACGTCGTGCTGCAGCGCAAAGGGGTCCAGCACCTGCGAGGGGATATGCGACGGGGAATGGGTGGAGGCGTGGGGGACGAGGGGGGAGACCCAGGGTCTCAGTCACAGGTGGAGGAACCCATCCCGGAGTCAGTGCTGTCTCCTCATGACCACTAGAGTCAACGCAGGCCTTCCAGCCCTGGAGTAAAAGCCCACGAGGTCCCACACCCTCTGCAAACACAGCCCACCGTGGCAAAGTACAGGAGCTCGACCAGGCGCCCCACCAGGGCCTCGCCCTCCTTCTTGGCAGCTGCCTCTCGGGCGGCCGCGGCCAGCTTGGCGGCCTTGGCGTCTGCGGCGGCGTTCGTCTTCGCCTCGCTCAGCTGCTGACGCAGGGGGCCCACAGCCTTGGCCACGGCATCCTCCCTCTCGGCCAGCCACTCCGCATCAGACTTGGTGGGGGAAGGTGGGGCTGCACGGAAGTAGTGGGATGTTTTAGTTGTTTAAGGCACAGTTCCTGTACAGAAAAGAACAAAAAGATGAGTCCAGAGTCTGATAGGGCAGCTCAGTGAGTAGGAGGCATGATGCTCCCCATTTGATGCCACATCCCCGGGGGCACTATGCCCCAGTCCATTCACATTCCCAGCCCAATGCAGTTAAACTAGACAAATTTGTGATTCACTAGACCGTAGGGACCCACCACGGGCGGCAGCAGCAGCCTCGCCCTCCTGCCTGGCAGCGGCCACCTCCTCGGCCAGTGGCTCCTTCAGCAGCTTGGTCAGCCGCTCCAGCTCCTCCACCGCTGCCACGATGGACGCCTTGCTGGCCAGGGCTGCCTCCTATGATCGTGACGCATGAGTCGCATGAGGATACCGGGCGTCGACACTCCTCGAAAGCCCTCTCCACCCTGGATCACTCGCCATCACCTGATCGGCGTTGAGGGCCTTGCCGACATCAGCCTTGGCTTGAATCTCATCGATGCCACGCAGCTTCTTTCGCTGATTGCGAAGACGCTTGGCCAAGGCTAGGAGCACGGGTGAGGTGGTCTCGGCGTCCATCGAGTGCCCGTTGCTGGGTGCCCTGACCGCCCGTTCACCAGCCATAGCTGATGCGCAGTTGGCTGAGGGGCGATTCCCGTTCCTGAATTTGTGGGGCATGGCACGTCCCATGACGTTTGCATGGACTTTCCGAATCGCTTGACGGCTCCCTGGCATCACCTATCTGGAAAGGACGGGAAGCCCTTTGATGTGGGGGAATGGCCTTGCCTGTGTCGATATCCCTTTGCCTGGCGGACGATGGCACAGACAGACATGCTCGACTAAATCCGTTTCAATACCGAAACGCATTTCATCACGTCGATCTGTTAGTTGAAGACTGCCCGGCGGACACTGCTCCATCACTGCCGTTCTGTCAAGCAGGCTCACCACTCCATACGGCCCAGGGCGGCAGCATGCTCCCCCTCGTGCTGTTGAAAACAGCACAAGGACACCCCGTGGTGCGTTGGACACCGTTCCCCCGCCTGCAGCAGGCCTGTTGCATTCCGCAGGCCACTTCCGCACTGGATGAGCGACCTCCCCTGATCAACCCCATCCACTGCCCCTCTGATGCAGCTCATAGAATTGAAGAGTGGCGAGACATACAATGGACACCTCGTGCTGTGTGATACTTGGATGAACATCCACTTGCGGGAGGTCATCTGCACCTCCAAGGTGGGAGAGTTTGGGGAATACGGGGATTGAGGTGGAGTTGTGGCACCATCACCTCCAGTGAAGGCCGCATGCTCAACTTTCCAATTTCCTTGGCCCCGCAGGATGGGGACAGGTTCTGGCGCATGCCTGAAGCATACGTGCGCGGCAACACCATCAAGTACCTTCGAGTTCCTGACGAGGTGCATTCTGGGGTGGCACACGGGATCCCGCGTCTAGTATTGCACCAGGTCCATAGGGGAAGGATGGTGGCGCTCTCTGCAAGTTTCCAGCCTCTTCTCATGCGTTCTCTGCAATGCAGGTCATTGACAAGGCCAAGGAGGAGACGCTCCGGAGGGATGGTGAGCTTCGTTGTGGTGATGCCTTCCTGATTGGGGGCGCTGGGATCACCTGTCACGGGCGTGAGGATCGCCAGCTGCATCCCTCTGTTGTTCCCTGTCCGGACGTGTCTCGTGTTGTTCCATCAGGTGCTTGTTGGTTGCACTGCAGACATTCCTTCCACAAGCCCATCCTCCATCCCCCCTCTACTGCTGCAGAGAAGCGACCGAGTGTCGGCAGCAGGGGACGCGGCCGGGGGCCGGGCCGAGGGGGCCGGGACGGTGGCGGCGGCAGGGGAGGACGGGACGGCGGCGGCGGCAGGGGAGGCCGAGATGGCGGCGGCGGCAGGGGAGGCCGGGGTGCCCCCAATGGTGGCAGAGGGGGCGGTGGCGGGTGGGGTCCCCCCGCAGACCTACAGTAGTACTTTTCTGCACACCCCTCATATCCGCAGCAGATGGACCTGCAAACGACCCCACACACGCACACTTGGAGGTTTACGCTCTCTTTGCACAGTATTGTAAATCGATGCCACAGCAAGGAAGGTGAAGCAAGGGACAGCATGCAAGCCTGGACATGTGAGTGCACATGCTGCTGGCAACGCCTGACCACAGCACATGCGAGCATGTCATGCCTGCGGCAAGGTCACGCTTCAAGCATAAAGACAGAATCGGTGGTTCCAGCCTCAGCCCCGCACGCCACAGTGCGTGAGCGGCAGGTCGCGCCGCACCTCGCAGCTCGCCCGGGGCGCCTGCAGGACCATGCGAGCTCCGACAACATTGCCGCGCCCATCACAGTATTCCCCCTGTGCCCTCCTACCACCACCCCCTCACTCGTCGTCGTTATCCACCTCCCCCCTCGCCAGCTTGGCCATCTCCGCCTTGCCCCGCGCCAGCCGCCGCTTCTGCGCCAGCGCCTGCTTGCGCAGCAGCGCCTTCCGCGCCTGCAGCTCCCGCGCCCGCTCGCGCACGGTCTGCGGGTCGAAGGGCCCGTCCTCGTCGCCGGCCACCTGGTCCCACTCCAGCACCCGGTCCAGCAGCAGCTTGAGCGCCACCTGCGCGGCCAGCACCAACGGGATGAGCCACTTGCGCCGGCGGTCGGGGTTGGCCGCCCGCGCCGCGGCCACGGCGTCGTGGCGCCAGGCGCCGCCGCGCGCATGCCGCAGCTCGCGCAGCGCGCGCACCAGGGCGCTGACCCAGGCCACGCCCCCAGGCACCAGGCGCTCGCCCTCGCCGTTCTGGGGGCAGGCCGAGTGGTTCTCCAGCAGGGCCACGGGCAGGGCGGGCGCCGGCGCGGCCTTGCCGCCCTGCCGCCCCCCACCGTACCGCGCCTGGGCTTTCCTCACCAGCGCCGCCAGCTGGGCGGGGCGCTGCTCCACCCAGGCGGCAAAGTCGGTGCCCAGGGGGGGGGCCTCAGGCGTGGCGCGCGTGAAGCCCAGCACGGCCTGGTCCCAGATGTCGGCGCCGAAGTGGGCGGTGATGGCGTCGACCAGCTGCTCGTCAGTCCCGTCAGTAGCGTAGACGTCCAGGCGGTCGAGGTAGAGCACCGCGTCGATGGGCGTATCGCGGATGGCCTCCGCCACGCCCTCCAGACGCTGTGGGGTTGTGTGAGGGCGTGTCTTGGTGCAGGTTCAAGGGGTCCAAGAAAGCAGGTCTCGGGCATCAGGACCGGAAGTGTCTGTCGAGAACCGAGTCCCACAGCGCCTGGCCGCGCACGAGACTCCTGCGCAGAGATACGCACATGGCGTGCGGTGCTTGCCGCAGCCTTGACTCACCAGGCTTTGCCCCCCCCCCCCCCAAAAAACCACACAAACCCTCGCCCCCGCCTCCCTAATCCCCACTGTTGTACTTCCCCACGTCGCACCATGGTAGACACCGCGTCCTGCTCCAGCAAGGAGGGCGTGTCAATGACGGTGAACCTGAAGCCGTCGGGCAGGGTGCGTGTGTAGGCCGCGGGGCGGTTGGTGGTGGCCTGGAACCCCGACACGATCGCCGCGCGCTCGCCCAGGAGGGAGTTGACGGTGGCGCTCTTGCCCACTCCACCCTTTCCCAGGAGCAGGAGCGTGAACTCCTCGTCCCCGCGCGCGTGCGCGTCCACGGTCAGGCCCAGGATGGCCGACTGGGTGGGCTCCGGCAGCTGCCTGAAGCCGGCCCAGGCGCGCTCGCCGACCTCAGGTTGAGGGGCCTGGCGGGGGGGGCCGCCGCCGCCGCCAAACTGCTGCGTCAGCTGGCCCAGGCTGGACAGCGGGACGTTGCCGATGCCGGGGATGTAGATGTTGATGCCTTCTGAGCCTGGGGGGAGGCCTGGGCGGCCTGAGGAGGCGGCGGGCGGGCCGGTCTCGCCCTCGCTGTCCTCCTCCTCCTCCTCCTCCTCCTCCTCCTCCTCCTCGTCCTCCTCCTCGTCGCCCGTGATCTCGTACTCCTCCTCGTCCACTGCATCGGGCAAAGGGATCATCGATCAAGTAGTGTAACAAAAAAGCCACGCCTGCAACACCCTCCCGCACCACGGCGCGACATACCGATCAGGAGCTCCTCCAGCGTCGCCTGGCGCTGCCCCTCCTCCTCGCTCCCAGGGGGATCGGACACCGCCTCCACATTCAGGTTGGACGCCTCATATTCCTCGTGATCCACATCGCTGCCGACCTCCTCAAATTGGGGCGCGTACCGCCCCTGGTCGTGGTAAGAGCCCGGTGCTGGCTCGCCCATGGCAGCGCCCGTCGCAACCCGGCGTCACCACCTGCTCTCGATCCGGCGATGCAGGGGGGGATGCTGTGTACAAGGGACGATATGTGCATGCACAATCCATGCAGGCACGCTTGTCCGTGCCTGGGCCCGTGCTGGGTCGCTCCCTCGCGTGGATAATGGCCAAAGAAATCGAGGAGCCTGGGGGGGTCCGGCATGTTTCTCCACCAGCCTGAGCTGCGCCCCGACCGGCCGCATCCTATGGCCATCTTCAGCGTGGGCTCAGCACCCCCCAACCCACTTCTCAGGTTCCGGCCCTCCGCCGCCGATCATCCTCCCAGCCGCCGCACCAGGTCCTCCCGCCGGTTCACAGGGTTGGCTGGCGCCTGGCGCACGATATCCAGCGCAGACCGGCCGTCCCCGGTGCGCGCCCCCGCATCCCCCCCGGCCTCCAGCAGCGCGGCCAGGATGTCAGGGTGGCCATACCCCGCCGCGTAATGGATCGGCGTCATGCCCTGCCCGTCGGGGCAGGCCAGAAGGAAGGCGGCGTCGGGGCCCTCCAGCAGCAGGCCAACCACTTCGGGCCGGCCAAAGGCGGCGGCGTAGTGCAGCGCGCACCGCCCCTCCTCATCCTGCAGCCGCCCCTTCCCCACCGCAGCGTAGTCCTCCACCGCCTCCAGGTCCCCGGCTTTGCAGGCGTCCAGGATGTTCCGGATGGGCGCCTCCTCGGCGGGCGGCGCGGTGGCGCCGGCGACTGGTGCTGGGCCACCGGCGCCCAGGTCACCCAGCTTCTGGCCTACCTTACTCAGCAGCACGGGGTCATTCATGTACCTTTGAGATGCGCGGGGGGGGGTGGGGGGGTGTCTTCGCATGGAAGGGGAAATGGTATGGCCATCAGGCCTTTGGAGTCATGGTAGGCACTGGAGAGGGTGCAAGGGGCGAGGCCCTCGCATCCCCAACACAAAGCCATCTCTCCCCGAAACAACAGGCGATGTCATACCGAATAAGACGCTTCCCACGTCCTTTCCCCCTCCTTCCCCTCGCGCCGCGCACTTCATGAGACCGGACATGCCCTCCTTCTTGATCTCCTCGAACAGCGGCTTAAGGTCGGGGTCCTCCTGCAGAGTGGCAGTATTGGTTCCAGCGATCAGGACCAGGAAGGGGATGTGCAGGTTGCGGCCAGACTACAGGCACTGCGGTGGGTTCCTGGTTACATCAATGGAAACCAAACCGCCACACAGCAGGCCCACACCTTCAGCTCCGCCATCCTGGCAATGAACTGGGGGTTCTGCATGGTCTGCATCATGTCTGCCATCTGGGCCTGGATCTCGGGGTTCTGCAGGGCTTCTTGGGCCTGGCTCAGCTGCTGCTGCATCTGTCCATGGGCAGGAGCGGAGGGAGTGGCAGCGTAGGCTGGTTGCAGTGTTGAATGAATTCTGTATGCCCCTCCAGAGCGTGACCAGGCCACCACCCATGACCTCCACCTGTGGGTCTTGCTTTAATGCCTCTAATTTGGATTGCAATGCATTCCTCTCATCGGGGCCTGAGGAAGCCCTGCATGGAACGCAAACCCTCGACGATCGGGGTTGGCTGCATGGAGCAACTGGCCTCATGGCCCATGCTCTGGACGGTGCATGAGGGATGCAGGTGCGGCCAGAGAGGGCTGCCGCCATGCTTGACATGTTTGACTGCCGAGTGGCTGAGGAATCAGTCGACAAACTTTGTCGTGGCGCCTGCTCCTTGACGCTGAACGGTTCAGCAATGGGCATGGACGTATCGGATGCCCGCGCTGGGTTGGGATCTGTTCGGCTTATCATCCCACGTCAGCCACCGATCCCAGCCTGCGCTGATGACCTCTGAACAAAATAGGCAGTGCATGGCGTCGCTCATGATTGAACTACTCGAGATTCGGACCATTAAAACGCCTGCCAGACAGATGCCACGCTGACCTTCCCATCATGGTCATGCAAGCCCAGCAACTGGGCCTTCCATTTCGACATGGCCCTCGCTCGGGGAAGTTCCCGCGACAGCAGGCTTCTCCGCGCGCCTCAAATGGAGAGGGATTCTGCAGGGATAAAGTGGCCATGCCACAGAAGCCATCAGGGGCCCATGAAGGCACATGCACCATTGTCTTCCTCGGTGCCCATGGTGCCTCTGTTGAAGTCGAAGCCCCCAAGGTGAAGAGGCCTGGTATCTCTATTTGTGCCACAACTGGTCGACCTTGGCATCAGTGGCACACATGATAGCACGGCCTTCCCACTCTCTGTGTCACAGGATGGCTACATTCTCGATGCTGGGCTCAATGCTGGGCTGGAACTGCCGTTCACCTGCAGAGGGGGGATCTGCGGGTAGGTCTTGATGATTGGGAATGGTAGGGAGTGGTATCCTGAAACCTAGTACCAGCCAGCCTACCATCCTTGTCGGGACTGTTCATCGCATTTCCAGGCAGCATGCACCAAAGATCTGCATGTGCAACGTACTGATGCACCCACCTGCACTGCTCCTCATGCAGGGCATGCGTCGGCCGCGTGACCGAGGGCGAGGTGGACGCCAGTGATGTACGTCCATGTTGTTGTGCTGGTGGCACATGTTGCATCTCCACTCTGTATGGGAGCATGCTGGTTGCCAGTGCCATGCAGAGCCCGAACACCCCTGCTTATGGAGCTTCCCTCCTGAGGGATCCCCCTCTGCCCTCAACCTTCTCACTACATCTCCCAATAAGTGGCCAGTGATCTACCCAGCTACTCCCCTGCCCACCAATCCTTTTCATAACCACAGTTTCGCCCTGCCTCACTCCAGTGGCCCACACCCCTTGCACAGATCGCAGATGTCACCTTCACCCTCAACGAGGAGGAGGTGGAGGGAGGCATGACCCTGCTCTGCATGTCCAGGCCCATCTCAGACCGACTAGTGGTGGAGACGCAGAGCGACTGGGGTTACAGCATCGGCGACCTGAGCGAGTGGAAGGGTCCGACGGGGGAGATCTTGGGAAAGCGCGTTCAGCCACTCATGGGCAAGGCCTGGGAGACAGCCAAGCAGGAGTGAGTCTGGGCCAGCAGGAATGCTGAGGTGGCGCTACCCTGCCAGATGGCCCTCAACAGTTGACAGAGCTGGAAGATGCGTCATGCATCAGCTCACACATGCCGCACCCACGCACGCCGCACCCCTCCCACTTCTGTGCTGGACATGATTGTACAAGAGAGTGTCATGCTTTCCAGCGCTCAAATTTAGCAGGAGGGTGTGTGGTGCAGAGGAGGGCAGGTCACCAAAAGTTGGGGCTTGGAAGCGGGGGCAGGGGATGGTGCAGCCTGTGAGGCACACCATCCGTGGGAAGGAATGTGGGTTGCAAAAGCGACCAGGGTTGGTACATGGCTGTGGGGATGTTTGGAGACAAAAACCACCCCTTACAGACCCGGGGCATTCCCGACAAGTTGAGGAACGATGCAGCGCTTCAAGCAGCTTGGACAGGGCTTCGGGTTTCAGGAGCTGGGCCACAGTCTGGCCCAGCTCCCTTTCCTTCTTTGTTTGATACAGCAGGTACAGATCAGCCCAACGGCGGGGTGAGCGTGGCGCCGCCACGGCCCCGTCCCCTCAGCCGAGGGACAGCTCAGGGGGTGCTGGCTTCGCTGCCGCTGCGCTGCATGAGGTGGAACATGTAGGCCTCCCACTCTGCCGGGATCTTCCTGGCGGTCGTGTCCCTCGGCCCGGGACTCAGCAGGATGTTCAGCTCGTGCGCTCGTGGCTCCTGTGCAGGCGCCGGGGGGGCTCATGGATGCCGGGGCAAGACCTTCGGGGTTCTCGCAGCACCATTCATCCAACCTGCTGCTGTGGCAGAACAGCGCACTGAAGGGTGGCACCAGCCCACCTGCAGTGCCCTGACGAGTGCCACACTACCCTTCCCGAAACGCACCTTGGGCAGGCCACCCTGCAGCGACCACTTGAGCTCCTTCAGTGTCCGTGCACCCTTCTTGGCGTTGCAGCGACTGCAGCAGGTGACGATGTTGTCCCAGGTGAAGCCGCCGCCCTGCAGGTGGGAGGGGGGCCGGGAAGTGGGACGGTGAGGCAGGGGTGACCAGTGTGGCGGAGGGACGGCAGGCCGAGCATGCGCCGTGCGGCAGCTGCATGAGGAGATGCGAGCATCAGGCATGCCGCGAGGCAGCCGGCGCCTGATCACCCCACGTTGGCCCCGGCAGCACCCAGCAACTGCCCGTGCAGCAGCGCTGGGCCCGCTTCATGGTCATCTCCCCCCCCCTTCCCTGCCCCACCTTGGATGCGGGCACAATGTGATCCAGGGTCAGGTTCTCGCGGCTGCCGCAGTACTGGCAGGTGTGCTTGTCCCGCAACATGATGGAGCGGCGGTTGAGCGTCATGCGCACCATGCGGTTGGGGCGGTGGAGGTAGGTCCGCGCGCGCAGGACCGCGGGCAGGTAGAACTCGGTGGACACGGAGCGGACGCGGGCGTCGTAGTACTCCAGCACGTCGCACTGGGAAACGGTGAGTGAGGGCTGGCTTTGTGGGCAGTGAGTCTGGGGATGCGCTGAGCTGTCAGCCCGGGGCCTGACACTGGAGAGCCGGTGCTGGCGTAGCTCCCCTACAGGTCAGCGATGGTCCTCTCCAGGCTACAGCGGTTACGGGTACCCCACCCGAGCATCCACCCTTCCCCCCACCTTGCGCAGGTACTCGAGGCACACAGCCCGCCGCCAGTTCACGATGCGGATGGGTCGGTAGGCACTGTCCAAGACCAGGGCGTTGAAGCGTGCCAGGACCTGGCGGGAGGGGGAGGGTTATTGAATGGGGGCATCCATTTCAAAATCCTCTCAAATCTTAAACACTGGTAACCGTTACCCTGCAGTCCCCTCACCGAGTCGGGGGCCACAGAGGAGTGCTCATCCTCCTCCTCCTTATCTGCCAGGCAGGATGAGCTGCTGGACGACACCAGGGCGGCAGTGGCGAGGCCGTGCATGGGACTGCCTTTCCCCGGCTCCTGCCGAGGCCTGCCGAGTCGAGAGGGGTACGGTTGGATGAAAGGGTGCCCGCAGGGTCCCGTGATACCCTACCAGCTCGCTACGCACCTGGACGAGTGCGTGGGTGTCCAAGCGCCGCGCAGTTTCGGCAACCACTCTCGAAGGTGCGAACCTCGGCGAGGCGCCGTGAGGCCCACGCGGGTAGATGGAGCGATCGCCAGGCAGCACATAGGCATGATGACGCTAAGGGAGCAGCTGACCAGCGCTGGAGCGCGCGGATGCTGGCTAACAGAGACCCGTGCCGGGCTTGAAGGATCACTTCCGCACCCCGACGTACTCCCTGGCCGGGGGGGGGGAGTCCCGATCGTCGTCGAGGACCGGGTGTCGAGCCCGCAGCGTTCGAGTCTGTGTTGCGACCCTGCGTACGGCGGATCGCTACGAATCTGGCTCTCTTGAATGGATGTTGCGCGATGGCCCCCCCACGTGATCAGTTCCACTGCCCACGTGCGGGGTTCATGCCTGTCCCCAAAACATGGACACCTGCAGTTGATCTGGATGTGGTGTGGTTCAAACTTAGATCTCGAAGCATCGTGGGTGAGTTGGCATGGCCGGGCGGCGTGGTCATAGCACAGTCCACCATGGTGCAGTCCAGCCGCACAGGTGGAGCGACAAACAGGAGACCCTCTCAGGGTATCACATCAACATGTGATTCTGGCAGGTCCCGGCCTGGGGGCACCGTGGTGAGTCACCCCATGCCGCCCCAGCTCGCGATTCACAGGGCAGTCGGGAGGAGCACGCCACGGCGGGGGGGGCGGGGCACGCCGCGCACCTCGCCCGCCCACGCCCCCTCAGCGCAGCTTGCAGTAGAAGGAGAGGAGCGCCGCGCCGAGCGTCGCGATGGCGTCGCCGCCCCGGCCCCCCTCGCCCACGCGCAGCACATTGTTGGCGTTGCCCCAGAAGTCGTGCTCCAGCGGCGCGTGCACGTCCGCGCACCACCGCCCGTCCACGATGAACTTGAAGCGGTGCAGGCCGGGGGCCAGGCCCAGCAGCTGCAGGCGCCACTCGCGGCGCCAGGAGTTGTACTGCAGCGGGACGCGGCAGTGCCAGCCGCCCACCAGGTCGCCCACCACCTCCACGCTGGCGCCGCCGTAGGGCCAGGCCAGGGTCACGCGCCGAGACCAGCCGCGCACGAAGCGCTCCAGCTCCAGTGCCGTGGCCGAGGCCTGGGCGGGGATGGGCGCGCAGCCACAGATGTCGGACACTATCTGCGCAGGGGT